CTGCCAGGGAGACCCTGTTCCTCAGTGTGGGGGAATAGCGGCTCCCCCCCACATTGCCGCTGCTGGGCCCTTCCTGCTGCAGTTGTCCAGAGCCCATTCCGGGCTGCCTTACACCTGCTCTGCACTGCTACCACTGCCTCTGGGCAGCAGAGACGCGGGGCAGCGCGGACTCCAGGTAGCTGCAGCAGGAAGGGCCCGTTTTTCCCCTGCACTGAGGAACAGTTTCTGCCTGGCAGCCACCACTCCTGCTGCTAAGCCTGGGCAAGAGAGTCCACAGCAGGCATGGGGTGGGCTGGGTCAGGGCTGTGCGCACAGGTCCCCACTAGTACCACGGGGTTGGGGCCAGCGGCAGCAGCACCCAGAAAAAGCCACCACTGCCTGGGCTGCTTACAAAGGCAGTTCACTCACGGAGCTGCCCCAGCCCCGCTGCATGCCCGGGGGCAGCAGGACGTGCCATGGGCAGGTGCCATGGGGCGAGCTGGGGTCAGGGCTGTGCATGTGGGTTCTGGCTAGTCCACTCCTGCTGGGGTGAGTCTGGAGCGGGCATGGGGTGAGGTGGGGTGGGGGCTGTGTGCTGTTGGCAGTGGTGGAGAGGTGCCACAGGGCCCATGGGCTCTGGGCTGTTGCAGGGTGAGTGTGGGTGCCGACTAGCTCAAGGGGGCAGGGGGGGTGGGGCTCGCATGCACCCCCCCACCATACCCACAAACACCCCCCCACACTCATACACCCCACAAACACCACTTCCACTCACACCCTCCCCCACATGTACCCCCACACAGCCACACACACAAACCCTCACACCCACCCCATACCCACAGACCCCCAGCCACCCAAACTCATTAAGTGACCCTCCAATCAAAATAATTGCCCACCCCTGACTTGGTGCATGAATCTCTCACCTCCAAATAAGCAGAAAAATGGAATATCCAGCATAAGAAGGAAGAGGGCTGTTCATGAGGGCTGTTAACATGGTGAAGAATGTTTCTGATCTATTTTCCCTCAACTAAGCTGAACAAGAGTTTTGCCAAGAGAAGCATGAGCTTTCAAACATCTGCATTTCAGATTAGTTTCAGTCAATTTAGCAGTAAAAATAGCAGCTCAACTTTGCACTTCCCAATAGTCTTCAACAGTGGCTCTGAAGGCACTTTCCAAACAATAAAGCATCAAAATATGCCAAAGAAGATATCCCAGAAGGATGTCCTCAAATATCCTCTAGCCAAGTGAGAGGGGAGGGTAAGTCATTTGTTCCTATTTTAATATTTTAATCTGTTTCTATCATCCCTTTTCTCTTTTATTATAAGCTCCCCTGAGCCTTTTGGGGAATGGCAGCATATGTATCAACTATGTAGACATCTAACTTATTTTTATATTTTTACTTATTTTACATATCAGTAAAAGGCAGAAGTAGGTTTGAAATGCAAGGGATATAGAACAGCCCAGAAAAGAACACGAGCACCCAGAGGCCAAATCAATATTCGAACCACATTGAAAGCAATTGCAAAAATGCTGCTTTTAAGGATTATTTGCCATTAGCTACGAGATACGTTTCAGCGTATACAATGAGTTTTAGGCTATTCAAATTTTGCTTGGGTTGTAAAAATCAAACCACTGTAAACATGTATACACAAATCCATAAATTCATGACACTGTCCTTGAAAACTGGACATTTCTTTAGGATCCAGTAATTTATCCCCTAACAGTTTTTGGATCAGGCCATGGTTAATAAAATCTGCTTAAAGCTTCAAGCTGAAAACTAACACCCAGTTTGGCTGGTTTTGGGTGTCTTCAACATACAAGCAGCCAAGCCTGACTGCAGCTGACACCTGCCTCCCACTGCAGGCAATGACACCAATCATGACTAGAAATTTTTTTTTCACCTCAGTGTAATCCAGCATCTTTGACTAGCTCATATTATGGATGCATGATACTAGTCAACAAAACACTGCTAGCTAGAGATAATTATAGTGCAGATGAGTATATGCTTCCAACAAATCTCTGGCAATATACATCTCAACCATGACTTTTACTATTCCAGTCCCAGACCTCCTTCCAACAGGAACTGCCCAATATATTCATTTTCTTAGATGAAGTATCCTCCAGACCCATATAACTAAAATTGAATTCCAAATGTGGTATCCAGACCACTGAGCCATCACTGCCAATCTTAGAAGCCAATGACCACTCATTAGACAGCTGTTGTTCATAAAAAGAACAGGCTTTGGAAGTCCTAACATGAAGGCATTTACTTTTTTACAATGTGGTAAATATTATCTCTGTGGAGTACCATTAAAATGATTTCTGGAGCCTTAATTGCATTTAGCATGAGCAAAGACTTACTAAAAGTTTGCTGATGTCTTAAAGGGGTTTAGGTTGTAGCCGTGTTGGTCTAAGGATATAGGCAGACAAGGTTCCTTGGGTGAATTTGATATCTTTTATTAGACCAACCCAAATGGCTGGAGAATAGTTATTAAGCAAGCTTTCGGGTTCAAAAACCCTTCATCAGGCTAAGGAAGCTGCAGCAGTTGGTGTGTGCTCTTCCTGGATGGAAGATGCTGCAGGGCTCTGGATCCTTGCTCACCATATAAAAATGGGGCAGTTGCAGGGCCAAGTAAGTGTTAAGCTGGCTCTTAGCAGTGACCTGTCTCACAGCAGTGTCCTGCTGCTGCTCCACTCCATTTTATGTAGCAGGCAGCATGAGCCCACCCTACCTCCATTCTGCAATGGTGCAAACTATCAGATATGCCTGTGGTGGGGCAGGAATCAGAGCAGCACTCAGGGAGTATGTTGGGGCAGGAGGTCTTGTGGTGCAACAGCAAAAAGGTGGCCACCACTGATCTGGCACAGAAAGTAATTTGTAGGTTAGAATAACTGATTTAGCTCTTTTTGTAGCCTCTGAACAGGCTCTTGTTTGGCCAGCTTACAATGGCTCACCTGGTCATGGTCAATGTCTGCATCTCCTGTGATGACGATTCTTTTTTCAATCCGTGTCTCTGAAATTCCACCTTTCACAGTCTAGTACGAAAAAACATACGTTACTGTTAGGCAACAGTGCAAGAACAGCAAACTGAGTTACAAAATGAGTTGAGGCTGCTTTCCAAGTATGGCAGTTAAACAACTTACTGCCTATGAAGCAGTGATGGTAGTCTGACAGTGATATTTTTGTTTATGCTGGCAGTAAGAGGTCATGGAAGAGGAAGGAGGAAATTTGTGTCATGATAATGCTCAAGTGAAATGTTTCTTTAAACTAGTGGTCTCCAACCTTTAAGTCAGAGAGCACTTTTGGAATTTTAAAGGAACCCAAGATCTACCCTGTGCTGCCACACCACCCTGCCCCCGCCTCCAACCAGCAGACTAGTCTGTGGGGGAAGGGGCAGGGGTAGGGGAAAGGGCCATGGGGGGGAGGGTGCAGGGCAGATCAAGGCCCCAGCCCTAGCCCCACTGCCTCCCTCACCCCTGAAGCCTCAATCTGCCCCCCCTGCCCAATGGCAGCAAGGGAGGGAGGGGAAGGGGCTGGGTGGGCTGCAGCTGCGGGCTGGGCTGTTCCCAGCAGAGGCTGGGGCTGCACCACAGCATGCTGAGGCTGGGCTGTACCTGGGCAGTGGCGGCACTACACTAGAAGCGGGTCTACAGGGGGCTTCAGCTACCTGAAAACTTGCTGTAGGGCCTCTGCCGGGTGCACAGAGCAGCAGCAGAAGCCCCCCCGACAAGCTGCCAGCGCTCCATCCTCCCACCACCCGCCCAACCAGGGCCCCATTCAGCAGGCTGCTCCTGCACTCTGTCCCTCACCACACCAACTGATCTGCTGGGCAGGTGGGGGGGAAGAGGTGAGCCTATGCACGCATGCGTTCAGTCCCCGCAGCTGAGGAATTGACTGCAAGAGGCTCCAGGATCGACCGGTCGATCTTGATCGACCAGCTGGCGACCACTATTTTAAACCAAGTACAAACCAATAAAAAGCTGTTTAAAAAAATATTTTTCTTTTTTTTTCTTCTTCAGGCTGGGATCATAGTAAAGGGACACTGACACTGTAGCTCAGAGGTCGGCAACATTTTTGGGCCAACTGCCAAAAAACCCTACAACCTAGACTTCCAAGATGTTGTTGTGCCATGGGCAGAGGGCAGGGGAGCCACAAGGGGACTAACCCTTGCTGTGGCAATGCAGCCCCAGCCCCTTCCCTGCTGTGCTCCCTGAGGCGTGTGTACAGCTGCAGCCAGCAACAAGCCAGGCCAGGGCTCCGGACCCCAGTGCAGCCACTTGCAACCTTATCGCTGCCTGCTGCAAGCAGCCTAGGCTCTGTCTGGATCACCACCTCCATGGGGGAGGAAGAGAGAGCTGCTCCAGGGGCCAGCTGTCCCCCCTGGAGGGCTCCTCCAGGCAGCAGCTGCAGCAGCCTTCCAGCACCCTCCATCTCTGGATCACAAAGCATCAGCTGAGCAAAGGGGCAGACCACACAACATGGCATGGGGGAGGGAGGGAGGGAGAGGGGCAAGTCTGCAACCACTTCCTCCCACAGAGAAAAGATTTACAAACCAGAGCTACCATTCAAATGAATGTACCCCACCCCTTCCCCCAAATGCACAGGGACAGCATGCTGGGAGGGGAAGGAGAAACAGGGGAGAGCTGCTGCTGGCTGCTAGACATGGGCACTGCAAGGCAGGAAGCACAGAGTACCCCCTCTCCCCCCCCAAAGGGAAGCCCATGCAGTGGGCACATAATCCATGCTGCAAAAAAGGACAGAGGAACAAGGATGGGCTGCTCAAATAGCTTGGGTTGCTTGCAGCAGGCAGCTGCAAGCCCACAAGTGGCTGCACCAGGATCCGAGCTTGTTGCTGGCAGTGGCTGCACACATGCCTCAGGGAGCATGGTGGGGAAGGGGCCAGGGCTGCGCTGCCTCCAGCCCCTTCCCTGCCATGCACCTTGAGGTGTGTGTGCAGCCGTGGCTGCCACAGAGCCCAGGCTACTTGCAGCTGCACTAGGGTCTGGAGCCCCAGCCCAGCTCTGGCAGCAGCTGCACATGCACTTCAGGGCGCATGGCAGGGAAGGGGCTGAGGTTGTGCTTTCCTCACCATGCATCCTGAGGGATATGTGCAGTCATTGCAGCCACAGAGCCCTGGTGCACTGGTTGCAGCCTCCAGCTGCCTGCTGCCCAGCCTGGGCTCTAAGCAGCTGTTCCCTGCCACAGATCTAGGACTGTCATGTACCATAGAACTAAGCTGAAATCTTCAAACTCATTCTTTGCAAGCAAGTTTGCTTTTCTAGCATGGCCAAGCCTCAGCCATTTACAGTCTAAACTCTGCATTAAATAAAAGGTGTAAGAAAGCCTGAAATCTAAATTAACTATATGTCGATTTGTGCATACTCTTTTCGAGTCCAGCTCAGCTTTACGTTAGAGCAACACAGGATCTCAGCTTACTGTGAGATCAGTGTGAAACTCAGATGGTACAGATCTCCATAGAGGAAGAAAATATCCTATCAGGACTTTACTGATGTCTAGCAAAATTAAGCGCAGAGGAGGAGAGACAGAAATGGAGGGGTAATTGCTGTGCCACTCAACATCTGATCAGGAAATGACAGCTTGGTTTTGGGTGGTTAAGGAACATCTCTACAACTCCCGCAGGCCCTAGTTGATCTCTCACTGTCCCCATTTACCTTTGTGATTTGAGTGGTGGTTGTGCTGCTGGGGGTCTCAGAGGTGATGGTCTGAGCAGTCAGCAGGACTCCAGGGTCCAAATCCCCATTGCCATCATCTGTCTAATGGAAGACGCACAGAACAGCTATTACTCCTCACCATACACTATCTATTGAAAGCCAGCCCTCAACATCAATAGAATATGTTGTAATCCGAGATGATGAATCATCATTTCAAAAGTAGACACTGCATTATTTATGAGAAAGAGCAAACTGATTCTCAGCTGGCTGAATCAGGCATTTAGCTATGCGACTAATACTTTAAAGCTAACGCTGGCTAGAGGTCCAGCACTGATCATTTGGACTTTAAGACTGAGTAGCCATATTATCGCTGGATGGAGACGCAAAGAACCAAAGTAATCCAGAGCAGTTCTGACGTCCACTAGAACCTCTGAGCTGCAATCATGCACTAACACAGGATCATGCAGCCCCAGGTTTGTTTCCCAAAAGTGACTGTGTTCAGGTCTCAACTGCTAAGGTGGAGGTGGGGGGGTGGGAAGCTTTTTTTTTTCTCCCCCTCCACCCTTCCCTTTTTCCAACCTATTTAAGGGTGTTTGCCTACTAAGTTACCTTGGTGTCCCCCTGTGCTGCTAGGCATGTTTCAGACAGCAGGGGTAGAACGGATATCTGCTCTACTTGCACACTGCAGTCCCAAATTAGACCTACAAGTTCCACGGAAGCAATGTGACAAATCCACCCCTCCCGCAGGCCCTGAGGGACAGGGAGGGGGGACCCATGCAGGCTGCTTTCCCCTGGGCCATGGGGGCTCCGCAAAACCAGAAGTGCCACGGTGGGCACTTCCAGTTTCACTTTTCCCCTACAAGCCGGCATACCGGTTAACAGAGCATGCCGGCTTGCAAGGTGCCGGATAACTCAGCTTTTACTGTATATAAACAATTCACTTTAGGGCAAAAGGGGTAGAGCTTTACTGCTGGTCAGATGCTTTGCAGTAACTTCTCACTTGCACATTCTTAACCCCAAAGTAGAAACTAAACCATGGTAGTTTCATTGGCCCCTTTCACTGAGGACAAAGTTTATCATGGTCCCACTTCAACATATGACAGTATGAAAGCAGGCATGTGGGCAGTTTACTGCAGGGCAGCTGCTGTGCAAGTGAGTCCCATGTCCTTTTGTCCTGCAGTAAGCAGTTCAAGCTCATATTCTAAGACTCCCAAGGGTGGTGCAAGCACCTACTCTGGACACTTTTAAGAAATGTTTGGACGCTTATCTTGCTGGGATCCTCTGACCCTGGCTGACTTCCTGCCCCTGGGGCAGGGGGCTAGACTTGATGATCTTCCGAGGTCCCTTCCAGCCCTAATGTCTATGAAATCTATGAATCAATCAAAGACAACTGAAGAGCCAGATGCACTTAACTGGCACCTTGTGATCCTAAATAAAACTTTATACATGTCTGGATGATACTTTTGTCTCACTTTCTAACAACTGTCACATGTCATGTCTTACATCCTTACAGCCTAGCACAGTGAGGGTCCACGGTGCTACCGTATTAAACAAACCATTTCAGCATGTGCCACTATTTTAACTGCTTGTCTCCTTGTCAATGCTCAACTTTTCTGAAGCCTGCTGACAAAACCCACCAAATTAAAAACTACTAATGGGTAAGAGGATGTTTTGTAAGAGTAAATGAACAAAGGAGGCCATGGGACTGCAATGATCATTCTCAGTAGGATGAAATCCTTGGATCACCACTAGGTGGGACTAGCTTCCCCAGCAATTTAAGGAATTTTACAAACCAATTATTTCTCAAGAGATCAACTCATGTAAGTATCACCTGACCTAAATGAATTACTTCAGAATTCTCATTTCTTGAGACTAATGGGAATGGAGACAAATAGAGCTGAGAAGCCTGAAGTATTTCATTCCTCTAGTCTATTTTATCTCTAAATATTGAGACTTCCTAAAAGTTTCTGTATTATGCACAACATGAGAATCTTGCACTGTGCAATTATGGGCAATCTTGTCCAACTTTGCTAAAAAAAAAAGTTGAAAAATTCTACTCTGACATCAAATAACGTTTGTAGGATTTCAGAGGACCCAAGTAACTATAGGCCTGTAAGCCTCACCTCGGTGCTCGGGAAGATCTTGGAGAGAATCATCAAGGAGCACATCTGTGGGGGGCCTGCAGGGGAGATCGTGC